CTTAGCATCTTCGGTTCTTGGATATATCACCTATGGACGAACTGGGCATGAACTGGGTTCATCCTCATCGACGGCCGACCGGGTGAGGACGGACCGGGAGGATGGACCCGTCCTTCGACTCCAGGAGTGGACACATGCTGAAGAATCAGACCTACTATACCAGCGACTGGCCCTTGATAGTCAGTTCTAGGTTGAATTGATCTTCTCTTTTCTCCACATGTTGGATATTTTGGTTATTCACCACCAAACATTTTTGATATTCGATTGCGAATAGTTTCCTTCAGCACGTTCCTTTTGGTGTGAAACAACTCCACTTCCATCATATTTTATGCTTCACACCCATCGTTCATGCTTCACGCTAATTACAACGCCACACTAAACGCCTTCACTTGCTCTCGGAAATCCTCAATCCTCACCCTGGACCCAGGCAAGCCGAAGCAGAATCTCTGGGACAACCCCACGCACGCGGGACCCAAGACCTGGAACACCTTCCATGGGCCGCGCTTGCGCACGGATGCTGAGTTGATGGAGCGCATGGATCGGGCCGAGGATGTGAATGAGGAGTGGGAAGCGAAGAAGGCCTTTGTGAATACCGTCAGAGTGCAGACCTTGGATCGCTTCTACAGCAAGAAGGTGGGGGATGTTTTGGGGGAATATGTAGAGCAGAGATCAGCTGCATTTATGGTGTGGTTGTGTTCTTTTTTGGATGGAAAGAAGGAATGTTTTTTCCAAATCACTTTGGTTTGGTTTCGGCACACCACTATGACGCGTCGCTCTTGGGGCTTTCGTTGCCGTTTTTTGCTTTCGCCGAAGAGGTGGAAAACGAGCAGAAAGAGATGGCTTCGACCTGGGCGCCCCATCGCCGGGATCGCGCCGAGTATCACAAGTACCATGATACACTGGGATCGAACTTGGATAATATGCCCGTGAAGGAACTCAAGAAGGTTCTCACACCTTTCGTGCTTCATCGTGATCGGGAAGCCATCAATGCGATCACCAAACGCATCCATTCGGAGGAGAAGTGGAAGAAGCTCTGGAAAGAGATGGAGTTGGCACGGAGGGCTGAAACCTTGAGAGAGATGGACCATAGCAGGACTTACAATGCGATGCCTGGTTGTGCCGATCAGGTGACCTTTTCTTTATTTTCCCTAGCCCGAACTACGGCGAAATCCCAGAAATTGCGGGCCAATACACCGGGGAAGATGAATGGAACCTGAAAATGGAACGTCTAGAAGACGATTTTCCTTTCGGTTTTCAGATTCCATGTGGGTCTCGGAAACTAACCGGGTTATTCCTGCTGCTGTTTCGAGCAGTCCAAGGATGCTCATGGAGCTTGCTGGACAACAGCGAATCCATCTTCCACTGGAGCCACACTTGAGATGCTCTCCCCGTGTGGATCAGCTGGCGCGCCCGGCGGATCTCAAGCCTCCGGAGGATATCACTCAGCGCACGGACTTCGCCGGCTTGTTTCATGTGGCTTGATGGTCTGTCTTAGATCTGTCAGACAGGGTCTGAGTTAGACCCTGAGGCGATCCCTGATGTCTTTTGGGTTTAACGTAGACTCTTGATTAATAATAAGCCCCCCCCATATATAAGAGGTGCTTCAATTCAATTGGCGGGGGTTATGGTCTTCAAGAGTCTACCTTAGAAGGTATTTCTGACTAAACTAACTAACTTAGGGTTTTTCAGCCTGGAGCAGTCCTCCGACTCTTCGCTATCTTCGCTACACGGAGTCGGTTCAGGTGGACCACCGGCATGCGATGGAAGCGCGCTTCCCGGGGTCTGGACATGCCATGACGGTGAAATTCACCGCGGAGGCCACGCAGAGGAGCAGACCGGACTTTTTAGAGAAGGCCTCAGATCCTCCAGCTCAACCACCAGAAGTGGACAAGAAAGCGGCCAAGGAGAAGTCGGACTGTAGATGTTGCCTTCTTTTTAAACAATCTATATACAGTCTTTCCTGCGAAAGAACCTCCTAGGCAGGGAAAGAACTATTGGGTTTGGTAGTATATCCCTCACCTTCCCCAACACGTCGTGGCTTGCAATGTCAAACTTTTACAATCTTTGACCTTCTCTTTCAATGGACCGCCTCTGTGAGTATTTTCTTTTTGACAAGTCTAGTGTTTTTACCCTTTGAACCAAAGAGCCAATTTCGACCTGCAAAAAACCATCGACCCATCCTTCGCATGAAACAGGATATGCACCGGAAATTGGTGAGACAAGCTAGCATCCCGGTGAGCAAGCAGCGCCTCCAAACGGTCAGCAGCACGCGGCGGGAGGAGCGCCGCAGCCCGCGAAAGAGTGCGATATAAGATCCAATGGGAGAGAGAAAGAGAGAGAGAGAGAGAGGCAGTGAGAGGCAGTGAGAGCAAGAGATATATAGAGCGACAAACGCATACAAGGACTGTTCTCCTTTTAGCATTTTTGTCGCATCTCCCCAAGGGGTGTGAATAATAGCCGACTGCCGCGCCGACTTGCTCGGTGCGTGGGTGGGTGAACTAACCAATTGGATGAGTTGTTGGAGGGTGGGTAGTTGGCCCTCTAAGCACACCGTACTTGACGTCAGGCTGTCATTGTTCCGCTAACAACAGCGGACCGACCTACGGTGTGTCTTGTTGCTGTCTTTGCTGTTGTCATTGTGGCTTGTCATTGTGGCTTGTGGTGCGTTTCAAGCGACAGACCCTTCCGGATTGTGGTTTGATGACTGGCGACAACGACAGCCACGGCATCAATGACAAGACACCATGAACATGCTCAACGACAACATCAATGACAAGCCCCTATGGCAGCTCGATTGATGCGTCGGAATGACAACTAACATGATGATACTTGCAACCGTAAATAGCAGTGCACAGTATACCCTCAGTCATGTGTGGATAGCCAGTGAGCCAGCTTCTCTGGGAAACATCAAAGAGCACGACCAAAGATCCTGGTTCTAGTGCGGGATCTGATACGGGTTAGATGTCCAGGTGTTTGGCATGTCAAGCACTGGAACGTGTGAAGGTGGAAGAAAAGCCCGAATGCCTGTGGCCTTCCCATTTGCTCAGACAAACCAAATCCAGGCTAGATCAAGATAAGCATGAAGACTTCAAGAGCACCAGGCCATTTGGGGTTTTCTTCCGAATTCCATCGAAATCAGACTCCCTTCGAAGGGGTCAGGCAGGTATTGGTCGGCCCCTCATCCTGGGCTCGGGATTCTGCCTCGAATTGGTCCAGCAGGACCCCTCCGCCTTGGCGGAGCACTCCACGCAGCAGTTCCTGCCCGCGGCCGCGCCTCCACCGCCGGGGGTCCTGGGATGGCACGAGGATACCAGCAGACGTGGGTCAGACACAGAGCACAGGTCAGTGGGGAAACTGCACGAGCATGAAAGCCTCAGGTTCTTTGGCTTCTTTTGGCTTCTTTTGGCTTCTTGTGGCTTCTTGGGGGAACAGGGAAGATAGACTGCTTCGTCCTCGGCATCAAGGTTTTCTACTCCTTTTTTTAAATCACCTTTGAATGGTGTGGTTGAGTTTGCGCACCCTGTGGACCTCATCGGTTTCAGGATGCGTCGGGCGCTTTCATGCTCGGAGCTTGAAATCGGTGGAGCAGTGCAAGGAGGTCCATCCAACTAGTGGTAACAAATTAAGTACTCACGATAGTTTTTAATCCATCACAAAAAGAGCTGCCACAAAGGTGTTTGCTTTGTCACAAAGATGGACCTTTTTCTCCGTCTGGCCCAGGCCATGGCCCGTATACGGGGCACTTCGGATGGGATACAGCTCCCCATCCGGTTCTGCGAAGATCGAAGGGTTCACCATCTTCACCCTGCTCCATTCTTGGAGCCACAGCCGCCTGTTGCGACTCATCTCCTCCTCCGTTGACCCCGTGTGGTGTTCAATCGCACGGTGCGTCGTTCTGGCCTCCTCGCGTGGGACCCACGCGAGGCCAGATCAAGGGCGCATGCGGCTGAAGGACGCCAATGCCAGATGCTCAGAGTGAAAGATCGTAATTCACGTCCTGACTCAATTGGGTGTCATCGTCTTGACCGGTTGGGTTCTACCAAAAAGGATGGTGCCATCTGAGCAGTGCAGGAGAAGTTCATGTTTTCTTTCGCCGTCGTTCATCCATTTTCTGCTGGCTGCAAAGCCCTTTGTGCCACTAACCCTGTTGGCTTTGTGATTCAGGATCCTTCCAGTTCTACACCCTTCGTCACTTAGACCCGTCGCTGAGGCTCCAAATAAGCTGCACATGAGCTTGGACTTCCTGAAGCGGTCAGACACCAGCAGCAGTCTGAAGGACTCCATGCTAGCCCTCTGACATCCTCTGACCCTCTGATCAACTTTTCGAGCCTCAATTTGACCGGCCCAAAAGCACACATCAATCTAGAATTGGAAGCCAACATGTATCCCAAATCGTTTCGTGGCACCTGTGAGTTTGGTTTTGAAGCCCACCCAACCGAACGGGGCGGTCATCCGCGCGCGGACATCCGCGGCGCGAGCGTCCAGGACGCCTCTCCGAAGTCGGTGAATCTGGATTTATCGCCCCCGGCGCGGCCCATGGTGTATCCCGTGAGTGTTCCCAACGCCGCACTCTCGGTGGGAGATAGAGACGAAAGGAGATGAGAAGGCATGGGGTCAGCATTGAGCAGATCGATTTAGATGCGGGCAAGGGAAAGCTGGGCAGGGGAAAGGATGGGTGATGACTCTATGGCCATCCACTCAAGGTCGAAGAGCACATGCCAATGCCGAACTGGCGCCCCAAGCGTAGCCATGGTGCTCTTGCCGCAGCCTGGAAGCCTGGACAAGGATTAGCTGCATGAGGTGCAAATCAGGAATTGGCAGATTTGATGCAGCGAATGGGCAATATGCATGTTCCAACATGTTAGACCGGACTGTTCTGGATCTGAGTAGGGCATCATCAAGTGTCATCCTCAAGGCCACGAGGATCAGCCCAACCCAACCCAACCTTTGTAGACCAGACCTGGACACCGTTTCGCGTTGGTTTGCGCCCAAGGCATCGCCCAAGGCCAAAGCTGCGGGTCGAAGCGGCCCACCGGAGCGCTGGCCTCCCGTGCGGTAGCCCACCGGACGCAGACGGGAGACGACGAGCCTTCAACGAGCCGAGAGAGAGAGAGAGAGATGCTCGGCTCTCCATTTGGCCAATGGGTTGGTGCTGCTGGTTGGTTGAATTTGGAGGGGATGAAGAAGCAGGCTTCAATGCTGAAAAGAGGGTTGGTTTTTGGATCTGCTAGTCAGCTTATTTGCGCAGAGACTGACATGGTGCGTGGAGCGGGTTCAAAAGCCCAGAGAGTCGCCCAGGTGGGCAGTCAGACTGTGGACATTACCATTGTATCTGCAGCAGGACTTGCTTTTTGGGCTGGCGTTGAGCACGGTCCTCTTACTTGTAAGAAGAATCAAACATAAAGAAAACCAAGAAAAGAAGCACCAAGTTTCAATTGGTCCGTCCCTTTTTTAAACTTTGCTTCTTTACTTTCTATACCGAGGTCTTCCTTTGAATTCGATCCTGAAGCGTGCGCGCCCACTTCGCGCGCGCGCGCGCCGCACGCTTCTCTCTCGCCGCACACTCCAGGCTTGCCCAAGGCCGGTCGAAAAGGTTGCTCCGACCCCCAAGTGATCGTGGAGGCTCTTCTGCGCACCGCTCGGAGGAGGGGTTTTCTTCGTGGTCCATAGTGGTCCCGCTAATAGATAGTGGCAAGGGTTCCAATACAATAGACCTTAGAGGACCCTGTAGTGGTACATATGGGATGGGCGAAAAAGGGCTGCTCAGGATGTTCAACTTCTCTAGGATTTTTTTTGGTTCTTACTATGTTCTATCTATTTGGGGGGTCTATCTCGAGAGGTGGCGCCGATTTTGGCGACCAACCAGCAAGACACTGGTGGGGGGAAGTGGAAGGCTGGAAGAACCATGAAGAATCTTTTGCCACGCGAAAGTGGTGAAGGGAGGGTTTTTCCCTTTCAACGCCTTCCTCACACATCTTCCGCACATCTTCCGCACGTGCCACGTTCCCCGCGCCCTCCCGCGTTCCGCTCGCTCCGCACGCGCCCTCCCGCGCCCCGTAGTTTTCGGTCTCCGCCGGCAGGTTCCGGGGAAGTCTCGGTCAACGGTCAAGACCAGCGTGGCCAGCTGAGGGGACGGATTGGGACGGACGCACGCACGACGCCGGCCTCGACGAGTCGAGGATTGGTCGGATTTGGAGTTTGGAGTGAAGAGAGTGAAGGGTCAACTTGAAAAGAACAGTGGCTGCCGGATTCTGATACAACATACACAGAGACAGAAAAAGGAAAATATACATCATTTAAGATATATTTTGTTCATGGGCCTTGATTCTGCCTTTGCAGCGTTGGTGGAGGTCGCTTCACACACTGAGAGTCCGGTCTGGAATGAACCCTTGGTAGTGCAGGGAGCTCAGATCTGGAGAAATGGTTCCGTCCAGGATGGTTTTGAGATCGGAAAAAACGACAGGCAGAACTCCCGCACCTTGCAGAGAACATTCAAGGGAACACCGACCCAACACTCTGTATGCTGAATCTGCGAGCCAGGCAGGGCTGGCGGCGCGGTGAGCCACTGGCGATCTCGGCCTGGGAATCTCAATCCACGGAAAATGCAGCGAAGACTTCGTGGACTCGTCGACCCCGAGCTTAGGCACCGCTTCCCAGGTTTTACTTTAATTGTGTCTTTCTCTCTCTCTCTCTATGTGTTTGCCTCTCTTTTGTGCATACATGAAAAACACATATACTGTTATACTGTAATATATATATATATATGTGCATGTTTGTTTTTCTTGTCTGTGTGATGCAAGCATCTGCAAGAGTCAAGTGTGTTTTTGGGTTGAGAAAGACGATGATGGTCTGAAAACCAGTCTAACAGTGGTGTCTCAAAAGGAGAGGTGTCCCCACCCAGCATCGGCGGGCCCAAGTTTCAGGGCCCAAAACATGGACGTCGGAGGGGTTTCGGACAAGGTTCTGGCATAGCCAGCCTGGCTATGGACGTTTCGGTTCGTTTCGGTCCCAGACTTTGGACGAGCTTTAGGAGATCTAGGAGTCCCTCTCTGCAAACTATTTGTTCTGGTCCTTCAGCCTTCTTTTTCCATGACCAGGTCAACATGGCTCAAGCAATTGGCCGCATGAAGCGAAAAAATCAGTAGTTCTACTTTGAGTGCTTGTTGATCTCACATGAACCTGGTTGGCTTTCCAAGCTCTTTCCATGCATCTTCAGGCACTCAAAGCACGCGCCAAAGCACGTGCTTTTTGCGCACTCAGGTCGTCGATGCAGAAGTCATGGGAGGAGATGATCAGCTTGCTGCCATCCAGGCTGGCTGTCATGGCCCGCATGCCGCCTGGAGGGGCAACCGGCCAGATTGGGTTCGGTTTGTGTGTGTGTGTGTATATATATATATATGCAAATGTATATACATATAATATGATATATCACAATGTATATATGTATTGTATCATATACAATGTATAATGTATAATGTATGTGTATATTATATTATATTATATGGAATTGTATTCTATTATCTTGTATTATGTCATGTCATTAGTTATGCTATATCAATTTATGTTATACTATATTTTATTCCTGAGAGCGCCTGAGCGAAGGGTTCTAAAGGAGAGCAGGTGCACTGCAAATCATCGCAACTTACATTCGCGGATATCCAGAGTTGCATATTCCACACCAGCACGTCTTCACAGTGGAACACATCTTTAAACACCTCACATTTTGACATCCGTGCATATCCCATGACACTTGACCCTGTCGTGCGACTCGTGCTTCCGTGACTCGTGGTGACTCGTCGGCAGCACCCCGGATTATGTGCGAAAAGAAAAGGGGAGAGAGGGAGAGAGAGAGAGAGAGAGGGGGAGAGAGCGGAAAGAAAAAGAACAGAACAGAAAGAAGGAACAAAAGAAATAACAGAAAGACAAAAAGACAGAAAGAAAGA